TGAATTAGGAGAAGTGGTCGGAAACACATATACCGGTGATTTTTATGGGATAGTCTATCCAAACACAATTGGAGCAGCTCCCGCAAAAATACATATATCGCGCGGTGTCGGCTCGTTTGATGTTTGTTTGAAGTCTGTGCACGTGGCGGACATTCCTTGTTCCAGGCGATCCAACTTACTTTGGATAAACTATACAATGAATATTTCTCTTATTATTTTGTCTCAAACTCCAGAACGGCCGAAAACCAGTGCATTTACTCTAGTAGCTTGTGTCAGTGGCGGCAACCAAAGCACATTTTAATCTTCCGAAGACAACAGCAGCATCAACAGCAGCTATTCTGTTGCGAAGTTTATAAATTGAGCATTATTGTTGACCACACATTCAACACATTTTTTAAAAGAACAAAACTTGTGAAGTTACCTGATCTATTACATGAATAATAAGTCACCGGTTGATCCTTGGAATAGCCTGATGTGATCGCATAATTAGATTTGAAAGTTTTTTCAATATCACTTTTCCAGTCCAGAAACTCTGAAATGGAAAAACAAAAGAATAAGTGGACTGCAATATTATAATCCCAATTGTTTCTTGGGAAATATCAGGGATTTCAGGGATATCAGGGTTGAATGTTTAATGATGTTGATTTCTGCATTTTCAATGAGATGATGCTTTCTTCTTCTTTCAGTGAAGGATTCTTTTTATGTTTCACAAGTTCTCCATTTTATTTTAACCCTTTCGAGACGAGTTTTTGTTTTAAGGGTTCTGGGTTAGATTTTTATTGGTTTAATGTCAGTTGCGATTAAATTAAACCTCTACATCGAAATTTCAATTACTTCTTATTTATTAGAAGTGGTGGGGGGATACATATATATACCGCCAATCTGTGAGGGTCCTTGAGGGTGGTACATATATATAAATCGCTACTGCCCGACGAAAAGTCGGATAAACTTGAAACTTTTGACAAATAGTCAGCGATGTGTTGCAACTGATCCATACATTTTTTTCTGGACATCATCTGAGACAAGAAGAAGACCGGTACATACATGTACCAACATCAAGTGCAGTTACGGACTGCTGGTACAAATGTGTATCACTGTAGAAAACAGCTGTTTTTTGTTATTTCCACCAGTGTTTTACAATTTACCTTCAACTATAAATCCACACTCTCAATATGCGCAATTTATGTCAATTTTGTTCATCAAAATTAACTGAAAACAGAGCGTAGAATTAACGTGGCCCTGCACAAATAAATAACTACCACATAACCCCAAATGAAATTCCGCACATCGAAGTTACATAGGGAGGTAGATAGAGGAACCATATAAAATATGAATATTTGCTTCTAGTTTCTTAGTTAAATCTACCCTACTGCCATGGTCAAGATTATCAACAATGCTAAAATAGAAATACGAAATAGCCACAATGTTCATAAAATGAACAACAATGGTATATTTCGAGAGAAAATCGACTCCTTTCCTAACATACAAATTCTGAGAAAATGTAGATATAATGGAAAAATTGAAAAACCTTCTGTTATCGCCGAGTTTATCGCCCTTTGCAGTGGATTCAAATTGGCCTATTTTGAAATAGTTTACCTAGTAAATTTTTGGCATGATGTTCTGGGACACCTGAACCCTGAACACAACTGTAAGAAACAGGAAAAATTGAAAAACCTTCTTTTATCGCCGAGTTTATCGCCCTTTGCAGTGGATTCAAATTGGCCTATTTTGAAATAGTTTACCTAGTAAATTCTTGGCATGATGTTCTGGGACACCTGCAGAAAACTGAAGTGGGAGCTTAATGAGGTGAGTAACATTTTCATTACAGCTATTATAATTAATTTTTTGTCATTTTTTTTAAATGGTGTAACATTTGAAGTGAATAAATAAATAAATGGATTTCGGATGGATTTGAACAACTAGGTAGTTATTTTGATCCTCAATTCTAAATCTTTTGAAGTTTCATGAGTTTTTGATGTTGCATAATAATTTGGTCCCATCAAAAGTAGTGTGTTGTAGGTATGTGTAGTTTTGGGTCAAAATTCACATTCCAATCACTGGGTTGAGCTGATTACTCACTAACAGGATGACTAAAATTATTGTCCACCAAAACGCGCCACTGAAACGTGGTCAGGGTTGGTAGAACTGATAAATATACCTTTTTTTGTGTCATTTGGTTTCTTCCTATAATATCTCTTTCTTCGTCAATGTCAATGTAAGAATTGGTCATAAAGTTCCACATTGAGAGTAAAAAAACGATGGTTCAAGGGGAGTCGTTAATCTATGGTTCAAGTCTTTTAATAACTTGGGACTTTCAATTTGCTCAAATAATTTTTTCCCAATAATTTCCATAAAACATGCCATAGCCTTCAGGGCTATCCGGCAAAATTTTGTGATTTTTGACTGACACTGACCCCACTGACCTTGTTTTAGTAGCGCTAACAGGTGAGAGTGGAAATGTCAGCCCTCAATCAGAAAAATAGTTATTTATTATACAAGGGAAACAAACAGTAGATTTTAGCTCCAGGTTGTGTCAACAGTGAGCTAAAATCGAATATTTTTCCCGTGTATAATACACTATTTTTCTATGAGAGGAAAAAGGAGGAATCAATATTAATTATAACATTATATTAAAATCAGAAACTCATTGACAAGGAATTTGAAGTTTTTTTACAGAAATAACACCTGCGTTGCAGGTTGCAGACATATTCATCATTCTTTTGAGGTCAAATATCTGCCAGCCTAATTCTGTGACTTGATTTCAAATTGCGAATTTAGTGGTTGTTTAGTAATTAAAATAACAAAGTCCAATGAAAGATGAAAGGACTTGCAGTTCTTTCTCTGAGTGGGAGACGGTGTTATGGGCTTATTTTTGGAACTATAGCACAACAAAAGCCATTAACAATGTATATATATCTGGGAAAAAAGTACTAACTTTTTTCCCATGAGAAAAAAGTAATTTATGAAAAGTAACATTTTATAACCCATCACAGCAAAAACTATTTTTATATCAATATCCATGCCATACAGACACCAATGAACTTCAGTGGCAACTTGCAGTCTTAGCAAGAGCTAATTGAAAAATTGGAAGGTTTCATGATGGTGAAACCTTCTCATGATATTGCCCTTGTGTTTCACTGTGATGAAAATTGGAAGGTTTCATGATGGTGAAACCTTCTCATGATATTGCCCTTGTGTTTCACTGTGATGAGTATTTTGAAGTAAGTAGGTACTCACCACCCATCTTGCACCAAAATTATTTGAAAAATATACCATATACCTACAGGTACCTACCATCTTTGTCAACAAATTCTATTTCCTCACTTTCAATTTTTATGTCGTGACTTTCAGATAAGTGATTTATTAAATCTGTATTATTCCGAAAGGAATTATTACAACCCTTTTCCAGGCATTTATTTTTCCACTTAGATCTATCACTATCATAACAGAGCGTCGTCGGCTTGAGTTTATGAATGTTCTTCATGTGTTTGTTCAAATTGGTTCGTGTAGTAAATTTGGTTTCACAAATAATACATTTCAAACCCATACTATCGAAAAACTATATTTTGCAAAATTGCCGAAAACCCAAAATGTTAATATTTATTTTTAATATCAGTTTAATACTTTTAATAGGTTATTATTATTATATTGTTGTGAAGTGAATATTCGTTCCAAAGTTCGAATATTTTGAGATTTGACTTTGACATTGACTCTTTGACGTATATTGTCCTTTGAATCTTTGGTGATAATGAGAAGCATAGCTGTTCTCGCGGGACCCAAGGTTGGTAGAACTGATTATAATTTGTATAGTCATCAGTTCTACCAACCTTGGCTCGACCAATAGACGTTGATGCCGACGTAGGGAAAAAATAATACGAAACTTGTCAAACCAATATGGCTGTTTCCATCCTTCATTTTCCGTCCTTATAGATTCAAAAAGTACCTCTCATTTTGGTCCCATTTTTGTTGAGATATCTTATAGGCGATGGGCCATATATAGAAATAGTACATAATATATTATGTCCTAGAACCATATATTTACTATTTCTATATATGGCGCATCGCCTATACGATATCTCAACAAAAATGGGACCAAAATGAGAGGTACATTTTGAATCTATAAGGACGGAGAGTGAAGGATGAAAACAGCAATATTCATACATTATTCCAAATTTTTTGGGATTTTCTCTTCTCGTTTCTATAAAATAAAAATATGAATATTATTTCAATACACGTGTAGTAAGGACAAATCAGATGATTTGCCTCAATATGTCACTGAATTTAAAGAATTTTCCTATCAGAGAACCTAAAAGAAAAATTCACTAGCTCTCATTTCGAATTTTACCAATGGTGCTCCACCAAAAATGTATGGAACAAAAAAGCTTGATGACCCCAGAAAAAATGTTTCCCTGTATATTCTTATAATGACTCAGCACACACTGTATGATGTAAACCTTAAAATATAACTAACTTCCTGACAGGGTTGAAAAGAAAAAAATTCAAAAATCCTGAAACTTTAATGCTCTGTAGATCTGTAACAAAGTGTGTGCAAACTTATTTTGACTTGAAAAATGAGGCATCCTTTTATACATGGTGTTCTGTTTATAAAAATATACTTTTATGAAAATGACCCTGTACTTTTATAACTATCATATACTTCATGATAAGTCTTGTGGAATCAAGTGAGAAAAAGTAACTACAAATTACAGAGCATATACTTATATTCATATCACAAATATTTGAGAGTAATTGAGGAAAACCAAGATTATTAATTATAGTTGTAATTGGAAAAAAGGTTGGTACCTTTGAGTTCATGGACCATGGACTGGACAGCAACAAATATGAATTTGTTAAAATGTGTAGGTATTATGTTAATACAATTTTGTAGGTAAGTACTAAGGTAAATAGAAAAAAAAAACATTTTGGCTCCATACACTCAGAGAGAATTGTCCCAATTCAGTCCTGTAACATGTTGAAAGCTGAGGAATGAGGAAATCATCCTACTATTTAAAAGAAATACATACTTTGAATGAAGCATATGAGCCTCCAGCCACTTTGAAAGCATAACAACCAGTGACTGCTAAAATTACATACAATGGTACAATACAGGCAGAATAATACTGGTATCTATTCAACAGTGTTAGACATGAAACAAGTAGATGTGATACAACCACAAATGAAATTTGAAACTTATTCTTGTTGTCAAAAGCATTGAAATAAAGTACACTCCAAAATGTATGGAGTAGAATGAAACACAATCCAATAGCTGAGCTAGTGAGAAAAAACATTTCAGTACCAGATTTGAGACCCATAGTACCAGGTCCAAGGGAGTCAGCTATTACATTAACTAGTGAAAAAGCTCCACTCATTATTCCAAAACCTAATCCACTCACATAAGCTAGTATGTGTTTATTTTCAATTAGAGTAGCACTATCATCTGTGATTTTCTTCAGTCCATGTTCAGCTTTTCTCAGTATCTTGTATATGAGAAATCTAAATGCCTCTTGAAAGAGAACTGCAAAAACCAATCCAAATGCCAAGTCCTTTCGAAGAGGTACAACAGCAAACCAGAGTAGTGATGATAGTAGCAAGGACAGCAACCAGAAGAAAGCTGCAGCTATAAGTATTATGATTCTCACAGGATCATGGACGATGGTAAATATAAACATGGCAAAAGGTGGACCAAAGGCCAATAATGTACATCCAAAGAATTCAACTACTGTCATTTCACCACTTGTTATATTTTCATTTGGTTAAAACATAAAAGTCTTCTTTCCAATTAAGATTTGATGATTTTATTTAGTTTAGTTGGCTTTCAGCCTCTAATAATTCAATTTCAAGCTTTTCAGCTTCAATTTTATAATTTTTATATTTTTACAGTTTTAAAAACACAAAGAAATGAATGAACTTCTATCAGTTCTGTGACTGCCCACTGTCACTGTGCAGTGTTCTGTCACTTCTGTCAGTGTATTGGAGACTAGAGGGGCTCTCGCTAGTCATGAAACTAGTTATTATTGTTATTATATGCTACTGTGCTGCTGTGATAAACAAACAATATTTCTTTCTCTCTCATAGTTGACAGTTTCGAGTAGCGTGGTAGCTCAGTCAGTGGACTGTGGACTGTGTATCTGACTTCTATCGCGTTCAATTTCCTGCGAGGCGACAATTTTTTTTACAAATAATTTTTCGAAAAATATACTTTTCAGCAAAAAGGTTTATTTGGGAGGAGTTCAGTTGAAAGAAGTCTGTTTTCACTCAAGTAATTTTTCAGCAAAAAGGTTTATTTGGGAGGAGTTCAGTTGAAAGAAGTCTGTTTTCACTCAAGTAATTTTTCAGGAAAAAGGGTCATTTAGGCCGAATTAGATCAAAATCTCAGTCGGCACCTCTGATGTTCGTTACCCTATTTTGTTTACTGTAGGGTCCCTTGATGGAAATTGACGTTAAAGTCATCTAACAGGGTAAGGACAGATCATAGCTGCATTCTTTTTTAATGATATAGAGACTTTAGTTTTGTCTACTGGCATCCCTGACATTGCTGTCACGTCATATCCATGAGCGCTACAAAAAAATCAATCTGAATTTTAATAACAGGTACCTATGTACAGGATATTTACTTGTTGAGGAAGATCATATTGCGAACGAATTTTGTAACTATGATCCGATTCTATTCTAAATTGAAAGATATCTGGGGCTGGGGTTTTCAGGGGTTGGAGATAATGATTATTTCGTCAAACTTGGAAAATTCAAGATGACGCGGATCCAATCCAATATATAGCGAAAGAAATTTCTAATTATGATCTGATTCTATTTGAGATTAATATCTGAGGGTTTTCGGGGTCGTAATTTATTATTTTTTGTTAAGATTGGGAAATTCAAGATAGCAGATCCAATAAAAATCATAATTGGTATCTGGGGATTTCCGGGGTCGGAGATTATAATTATTTCGTTTGAATTGGGATATTCAAGATGGCGAATCCAATATGGTGGACGAGTTTTGTAATGAAGATCCGATTCTATTAATGATTGATATTGTATCGTAAAAATTGGAGAATTCAAGATGACGGATCCAATATGGCGAAAGACATTAGTTTATATAATTATTACTGTGAAAATAGCGTGCCTATAAGTTATACTGCGCATACCTACTTCTTTGTTACTTCCATCAATAAATAATTCGAAAATGACTTTTTATTCAAGGGAGACAAAAAAATGAGGTGAAGTATATTCTATTCTACATTTTCCTACATATTTTACGTATTTTCTTTATCAGCCTACTTTTCGTCCTAGACGAAGTTTTATACTTTTATAGTGTACTCCATAAATTCTTCTCCGAGTTGGATTTCCGAAAATATATTTAGCACATATGACATGAGTACCTACAGTAGTTTAGATACCCACATCGAGGTTTCCACCATTTCTCAATAATTAGCCTCTGCTCATTCAGCTCATAGATAAACTACTGCTCAGCTTGAAATCAGAATTCATTCAGTCGATTCAGTCAACCCTGGTATACAGTCTAAGAACGGTCTCTTCTGGTGAAATACATTATGAGCTTTCAGTACAATTTATATGTTCCCTACCTCGCAAAGATTATGCTGGAGTAGTAAACTCTAAAACTAGAGGATTGTTCATCTATATCTTGGTATAGTTGAACCAGGAATTCCATATGGAAATTACGTATGATACGCCAGTGACCTCAATATAACCTAAAAAACAACGAATGTCAAAAATCTAGTGTTTATCCCCAGAATTGAATAAGGATGGAGCCATATAACTGTTTCACAAACGCTTTAGAGTGAGAGGAGACGAGGATCTGTCCGTACCCTGTTAAGATGACTTTAACGTCAATTTCCATCAAGGGACCCTAGTTTACTGCACAAAACCACGCGCACCAGGTTTTTATTTCAGCATTTGGACGTTGTCTTCTGCGAATCCAAAATCTAGATGTCGATTTGATATGAATAGATAGAAAATGTTAAGATAAGGGTGTTGAGATAATATAACGTTTATATGATCGTTGCGTCCTGTGGTTGCGTCTTGTAAGGTGAGTTCCCAATGCAGGTTTTTAGCTTTTCGCGGCAGTCTGATTGGTGACGAGTTTAAAAGGGTTACTGCCGTTACTGGCTGTATGATCTAAGGTTACTGGTTAGACAAGTAAGAAGTAGACTTTTGACATTGTGATAATTTTAATTTCTGTGCTGTGTTGTTTTTTTTTTGTTTATTTTATCAGTTTATCTGAATCTGATTCATTTATTTACACCTGATTCTGTTATCAGAGATCTGTTATCATATCAGTGATATCTGTTTATTCATGCTGTTTTCTGTTTATCATGTGTTGATTTTATTGGGCTGAAAGCTGAAATCATTTTTGAATATTGTGATTAGTTAGAAATTAGAATCAACAATGGTAAGAGAAAAGTTCGGATCTAGTGTAATTATTGACCAATTCTATTTTTTTTATTGTCCTAGTCCGGAGGCAGTGTAAATATCTGTGAAGTTACCCAAGAAGTGAAACAAGCTCTCAAAGAGTTTAGATTTAGGAAAACGGAGGATACAGCAGCCCTAGTGTGTGAGTCCATAATTTTTCAACAAAAAATAAAATATTCTGAAGAGAAGATATTGTTGTGGTTGCCACCTCAGAATTTCTGATTTTCAGAACAAATTAGTTAAAAATACAGGACAATCAATAATTAAAAATCGGAACTAATGAACTTTCAATGAAATGTTAAAAAGTATAATGAATTATGAGTGTCAGTGTTTGATGGTATTAAAAAAATTTGCTTATGCACTTCAGGGAATAAAAGGGTAATTTCAATCCCTCATTTGAGGGACTTAAGTGGCTCTTTTATTCTCAGGGAATAAAAGTTAACACTGGCATTTCTTTACAAATGCCATAGCAATGCTTGAAAGTCAAATCACTTTTAAATGTCAACAACAATATGATAATCACCCATCATTCAGCAAAGTTAGTATTATGAAACTCTACCGCCTATGAGTACAAGAGTTTTGTCTTTCATTATTTTCTTAGTAAACTTCATCACCTAACAACCTTTATGATATGCCCCTGGCACACATTCATCGGATCTATTCCTGCTATCATTACATGATGATAGTGTGTAGAGAGGGGTTTAAACATCATATATGAGAATGGCATTAAGAGGTGGTAGATCAATGATGCTTTTCAAAACACTGGTGTACTTCCAAAATTCATTTTTTCCCTCCCTGACTACTATATTGTACTATCTAAGTATTGGCTGGATGTAATCACCATTCACTTAAACTTGAATGTATGCCAATAATATACCTACCCTATGAAATTGGGATCATAAGTGCTGCTTCCAAGAAAATCATCCAGAAGGTGAACATTCAGAAAGTGAAGTGCGTCTCCAAAAAAAAAGTACATAGCAAGTTCTATTGAATAAAACTGGTGGAGTATTTCAGCACTCAGTATATATATCTGTCCTTCTTACTTGCATGTGTTGAATACAACCTACAGATAAATATTTACTCATAGCAGTAAAACTTCATTCAATGATGTTGATGATGTCACCTCAATAGCTCACAAAATTCAGGACATTTGGTGCCTGCAAGTGATCTCGACAGGACGCCGGACAAAGTACAGATATTGTAATTGAACAATAATATTGACCAATATTGGATAATAGAATTGGTAATTTTTTGTTGATCTATTTCGCGGCTGATTCCTTTATTGAATATAGAACAAATAACCAGCCAAGACAAGGAAGTTGAATGTATTATGTGACCAGAAAACTCAGAAATTGTTTTTGAGAATAATGAATTCAGATCCATAGAGTTTCATCCTAATTTGCATCCTTTTGTCTTTATATCATATTTCGGAAATATCTATGATTCCATGACTACTGGCTAGCAGTGTATGTCACTGATAATAGCCTCATTTGATCATTGAATGTTTCTTTGGTAGCTCTCTTCCCCTGCAAAGTTTAGGATTGTTCTTCCATAATTAGGACATATATGCTATCATCAGAAATAAGGAAGAAAATAAGTAAAGACTCTCCAACCTTTGACCTTAATAATAATTTTTTCCTACAAGCGTGCGGAAAAATAACTTTCTCATGAGTGGAGATAAGAATTTCAATTTTGTGGAGTGTTTCTTTCCTTCTACTCTGGATGGCGTTACACCCATGTTGCCCATAGGAGACGCCTCGGAGACTACAAATATGCTGATTGTATTTTGTTTGCCAGGGCTTAGCTGGTAGTCTTTGGACTGCTAGCTGGAGACTATCCTACACTGATGAGAGCCAAAAGTTCTAAATCGGTCTGTAGGTGTAGTTGCGTTAACCTGGCTAAATTTAAATCATTCGGCTGAATTGGAATTAAGGAAAGAAATACTTGCATCAGTATTCGTTTATACGAATCGATATCATATTTGCGATAAAAAATAACACGTTGCCCCTGATGGCAACCAATTGAACACTTCTGAGCGGTTTGCTTTTATTGTATAGAACTGGGATATATTAGAAGGGCTTGTAATGTTACTTGACACATTTATTGAAAAACTTATTATCGTATGTCATGAACTATTGACATATATCGAATAGTCTAGGATACTGGGTGATTCTAATATCTAAGAATACGACAGTCTCCCCCACATAATTAGAAAATACACAAATCATCAAAATAAAAGTTAACAACAATTTTAAGACTTCATGTCGTAGTCAGCAAAACGTGAAGGTAGGCGTCGCTGGCGCTGTGGTCGATCTTGAGGAAGATCTGGAACATGACACCTATTTGGTTCTACTGGTTCAACAACACATTCTGGTATATTATGTGGCTGTGGCACTGTTGGTATTCTTGGAACATCGAATGATTGAGTAGGTCCAAAAGTAACTGTAGGCTTCGGAACCAAACTCGATCTAAGTTGGTCGACATGTCGTTTCAGTGTTCGGCCGGAATCCAATGTAACCGAATAGTGGCGTTGTCCAAGAACTTTTTGAATTACGCCGAAATGCCAGACGTTCTTATTATTGATAAAAAGTCTGATCTGGACTCTTTCCCCCTCATGAAATGAACGAGGAGTCCTCGAAGATGTCCTGGACTTGTGGAGTGTATACGGAAAAATAGCATCCAAACGAATTCTCAATTTCCTATTGAGGTACAATTCTGCAGGTGATTTACCACAGACAAGTGGAGTAGCTCTGTAGCGGAAGAGAATATCCTGTAGCTTATCCTGGATCGGCCTGTTATCATTAGAAGCAGCCTTTAGCCGATTCTTCAGAGTTTGAATATTCCTTTCTGCGAGACCATTAGTAGCAGGATAGTTTGGAGCGATACATTTCTGGAAGATTCCTTTCGAAACGCAGTAAACGTGGAAATCTTCGCTTTGAAAAATAGAAGCGTTGTCTGATACCATCACTTGTGGATAACCCTGCATAGAGAAGATATTGTCTAAAAGATAAATGGTGGATGAACTCGTTGGTGCATCTTTTGAGATTTTCACTTCAGTCCACTTAGATCTGGCATCCACGCACATCAGGAAGTAACGGTCTTCGAATGGACCCGCATAATCGATGTGAATCCTTTCCCAATTCATCTCAGGAGGATCCCATGGGTGCACAGGCGCTTTTGGGGGGTTTGATTTTGTCAAGGCACATATTTCGCAGCTTTTGACCATTCGCTCTATATCACGGTCGATGTTTGGCCAAAATACATACCGACGTGCGAGCTGTTTCATCTTAGTCATCCCCAAATGCGTATCATGGAGTTCACCGAGAACATTGGTGCGTAGCACGGCTGGAATGACAACTCTATCTTTTCGAAAAATTATGCCATCAACCAAGGTGAATTCGCTATCTTCTGATGTTGATTGTAGAGTTTCGAGTATTCGTTTCAGGTCTGGATCTTTTTCAGTTTCCATTTTGATTGTAGTCGAAGTAATCTCACTGCTTGAAATATGTAAAACAAGTTGATCACAGATTTGATTTACTTCATCACCAATAAATCCATCTGCTGAAACATTCAGTTGCTTCACTGGAGCTCGAGACAAACAGTCAACATTTTGATTTTCTCGTCCTCTCTTGAATTTAACGGAATAATTGAATCCGGACAAAAAAGAAGCATAACGTAGAAGGCGCGATGAAGTCATTTGTGGTAGGGCTTTGTGAGGATGTAATATTCTCGATAAGGGTTCATTATCAGTGACCAGAAGGAAATGAGTACCGAACAAGTACATGTAGAAGTGAGTGACACCAAAAATTATGGCAAGAGCCTCTCTATCCAACTGACTATAGTTCTTCTCTGAGTCTGTCAGTGCACGAGAAGCATAAGCGATGGGTCTCTCGAATCCATTGAATTGATGACTTAACACCGCAGCAACCCCAAATGGGTTAGCATCCGTTGTTAGAACCAGTGAAAGAGATGGGTCGAAAGGCATTAGTACTCGGTCACTACAAAGTTCTGTTTTGATATTCAGGAAAGCAGCTTCACAGTTTGATGACCATACCCAGGGTTGGTTTTTCCTAAGCAAACATCGAAGTGGGTATGACATCGTTGAAAAATGTGGTATAAACCGAGAGTAATAAGTGACAAGTCCGAGAAATCGTTTGATATCATCAGCATTCGAAGGTCGTGGTAAATCCTGAACGGCGCGCATTTTGGCTGGAGACTTGCTTATTCTGCTGTATTCAACAATATGACCAAGATAATCAATTTTTTCCATGAAAAATGAACATTTCTTCTTGTTAACGTGGAGATCGTAGTCCGAGAGTCTACGGAGACATTCTTCAAGATTTTGAGCACACTCGTCGAAATCTGTTCCATGAACTATTATATCATCAAAATACGCTTCAGTTTTTGGAAGATCCTTGAGGATCTGCGATAAAATCCTATTGAATTCAGCTGGAGCAGTTTTGATACCAAAACTCAAGCGATTCATCCGATAGGTTCCCCGATGTGTGGATAAAGTTTGAATTATACTGCTGTTTTCGTCAACTTGCAGATGTAAGTACGCCTTGAAAAGGTCAAGCTTGCAGAAATACTGAGAGTTGCGTAGACTGTTGAGCACATCGTCAATTCTTCGAATGGGCGTGTTTGCCTGTATTAATCGTTCATTAACGCCACATTTGTAGTCAACGCACAAGCGTACTCCTCCATCAGGTTTGGGAATGATGACAAGTGGAGAACCCCAATCAGTGACAGCGACAGGAGATATTATACCGTCGGCTTCCAGGTTGTCCAATTCTTTCTCTACTAGCTCACGCAGTGCGTACGGAACATCTCGCTCTCTGGTGTAGACGGGTTTGGCATCCTTACGAAGTCGAAGGGAAACTTGGAAATGCGGCACACATCCAACCTTTTCCAGAAAAATCGAAGGAAAATGATTGAATATGTCTTCAGTTGATCTAATCGAATGAACACGAGATATGTGACTTGAAATTTTTTTATCTGTTTTTTTATCTGCATTAATTTGTCGAAGTTCAATTCCTAATCCTTGTATCCATTGACGACCTAGTAATGCATCGTGACCCTCTGGTACAATATGTAATTCACCTAGGATTTGCTTGTTACGATATTCAACAGTGACGTTTATTT